CCTATTCGACGCACTCCACGCGCCTCGTGTGCGTGTGCGATGATCCTGCTGGGCCTGTGTTCTGGCCGAGACTAACTCGAGCGCTCGGTGCCTGCAGCCCTCGCAGTCATCCCTCCGGCCACGCACTTTTCCACCCCGGCGAAAGAATTGTCTGCCTCGGTCTCGAGGTGGGTCGGCCAGTCATCATCAACCAGCCGCAGCTCTCCATCATAAATCGTAGTAGGTATTCCGCTAATGATTGACCTGCTCGTTCGATCGTTACCGATGATCGCTTCCCTCTAGATGAATCTAAGGTGAATGATACAGGGGACGTGGATGCATCGAGGTTGGACAAGACTTAATCAACTCGGGAACGGGAGACTGCTCCGGCGCAGGCCGTACGGTGGCGCCGCATAACGCAAACCGATGGAAACTAGGCTGCTGGAACGTGAGGGTGGCTACCCCCACCCATGTGCTACGCACCCCTTCCATCTACAGCCACGAGGACACGAACCGCAACGCCGAGGGACGGTTCACTATATCAGGTATCGGAAGTATCGGTGACTTCAACGGGCTGATCGGAAAGAAGGGTTGCGCTACGCTCAAGATTTTCAAGTTGAAACAAAGTTTCTGATCAGCAGCAATGGAAGAACATATGATCAGAGAGACTAGGCTTCGAATTAAGAATCGATTATTGCAATCCTTTTATTTATATCCAATTTTTTCCCGTTTCTTTCTTTCTATAGAAATCAGACTTAGTATTTTTCTATTTTTCTATGTCGAAATTTACGTCTTTTAATATATTGTCTTTAAACTTAAAAAAAGTTTCTTCTTCGGAAATTATACAAAATAGACGTAAAGTTGTCTGTTTTTATAATCTAAATCTAATATACTTATCTATGCAAGTTAACTTAATAATTTTTACGATTAATGACAAATTGAATAGATTTTGAAATATATTTCAAAAGAAAATGTTTTAAATTTATTGTAAAATAGTTCGAATCATTATCTAATAATTTTAATATGTACATATCTCACAAAAGCAAAATATTGATATGTATTTTACTATATTACTTAATTTGAAGTTTACATCGAGAAATGTGTCTCGAATTGGTATATATGTGTGCTTGAAATCTGAGCGAGAAGAAGTCGAGAAAATAAGGAAAACTGATAATTTGGCTCTCTGGTCTTCTTTCCGATCGGGAGTCAAAGCACGGCGACAGGGTGGGAAAAGGTGCATGAGCATGCGCTCGAAAGGGGTGATCTTAGGCGCAGGTTCTAACCCCCTCGTTGTCCCCACTGCTGTCGCTTCTGGACGATCACACAGCTCGACGTTTTTCTACCCTTATCTTTACTCCGCTTCTCATCCTCACCCGAAAGCTTGTATATGCACTTTCGCAACTCGTACCGCAGCGGCATCCATTTGAGATAGTGTCACTTCGAGATTGGCATCTCTCACCGTGTTACCTTAACAATATTATTTCTCATAAAACTGCTTTATGATTTAATACAGTGGATCGATATAATTGCATGATGCGACAAATATTTTAAATAATTTTTTAAAATATTTTTTTATTAATACATTTTAGCTCATTTTATCTTACGTGTTTAGCATTGTTTTTAGAAAGTAATTATTATTTAGTATCGTTAATTACTTAACTCTTTTTGATACGTGATATTTTTATTTTATTATTGTTTATAACTCTGGTTTGGATGTTTCTACTGATTGCAATGTACATGTAGATATTATAGGATACATGTTATTATAGGATGTAACATGTGTACTTAAAATATACACACTCTTGGAAACAACTTTCAGAAAGGTACACTTGAACGAATATTAGCAACTGAATGGAGGCTTTCATTTTAAGAGTCGCGGTCGACAATGTGCAGCACACTCTTTAAAAATTCCAGCCGGCATCGTCGCAATCTCTTCTCCAGAAATTGTTTCTATAATCAATTCTCATTAATTACTTAATAATTATTCTCATTAATTTTTTTCTCATTTACGTCATTACGTTTTAGTTGTAATTGATAATATAAAGTATAAATCTTAAAATTTTTTAGAATCTTTAATATTAAGAAGTCTCGTCGTAATGAGAATTTTTCATGAAAAAAAAAGTATTTACTTTTTATTTGATGTAATATAATAAATTACTTTTATTGAGTCTTGGCTATTTAACAAATATGAAACTTATATTGAGTCATACTAAAGATCGTAAAAGAATTAATATTCTTAGAAAATATATAAAATCTTAATAGATCAAAAAGTATTGTTAACATAAAAAATAGTATTATGTCTGATTTTATCACAAAAAAAGACGAGAGTAGAATCTCAAAAAGAATTAAACCCTCTTCTAAATTATTTCCGTGCTTGCTTTTAATCAAACATAATTCTGAGGATCTGACAAAACGAGATCTTGGTTCCTCGCGATGACCATGACCATCTGCTGTACATTACTTCGCTTTATAAGTATACACAGAAATATTGCCGCGTGTAAGACAAACCCTCAAATGACTGGAACGACATTACTCTTCCCAGTTCTTACACTCGTCGTAATTTCATGAAGAAGAATGCTCTGTCTATAGCACTGAGCGAATAGATCAAACGTGTCATCTTGATCGGTGAATTATGCTTGCAATATATAACTCTAACAACCGTGTTAATAAATTACTTCTCTGCGACGGCTGTGCATAATGTTATAAAGTAGTAACAAATTTGCAAATATTAAATAGAATTCTTTTTTTATGGAAACGTGAAAATTCGTATTTTTATATGACTTGCAAGAGACTTGAGATCGCTATATATCTCTATATATCGTTATATATCGCTATATATCGCTATGCTACTGATGATTTACACCCGACACTGTCTGACGTAATATACGTCGGTCCTACAATCTATTGTTCAATATTGTCCTCTTGAGGCGAGGGTTAAGCGTTCACTTTCGATCACATAATGAGTGGCAATGTAGGCCAGGAACGTCCAGGGGATCATATTTCGCCGTACGTGGCGATACTCAACACTCGGGTCGAGTCATACAAGGAATAGTCGATTACATACGATAGCGCATCATAATTCCCGGAATTTCGCGTAATCACTGTACAATACATAATAATAAACGAGAGTATCGAACCTGTGATAACAAATATGTTGACGTATCGAAAAATGTTTAATGCTGAATAACGTTTAGAAACGTATATATATATATATATATATATATATATAAAATACTATATTTATTTATAATTAAATAAAAATAAATAGTGATAAACTGATTCAATTTATAGCGAATTTAAACATTTGAAGAATTGCTTATGTCTTTATTTAACAACTCTCTCCGGAAACATTTTGAATCATTTTGCTATAAATACGATTGGGATTTACAAAGATGTCAAAATTTGAAAGTGCTTACGGCGCGTATTTATAATATTTACCATGCATACGTGTGATAAACAATCGGACGTACGCAACAAGCACGCAATTGCGTGTTGATTTCCTTCAACAATATGAAGAAATTTTGACAGTATACAATCGACAATATCTTTTGCCGATAAAAAGTGCATTATCGTTTCCTGTGTACAAAATGCAGAACGTCCTCTTTATATTGTCCAAGAATTACGACTTTATAAATAATCAATCAACGTCAATGTTGATTGATGTTAAATTGAGAAAATGTACAAATGCTCAATATTACGTTATAAGATTTATTGGATTTTAATTATCTTTTACTAAATCAAGGATATCAATTGCATATGTATTTATCATTTTAATAGCTAAGAAGCAACACATAATTAATTATGAATATAAGCACAAATAGGTATATTAATCTATGAATCAATTACACGCTTATTTTAATTATTATGAAAAATTTTAAAGCTAAAAGAATGCGTTATTTCAATTAAAGCATGTATACATAAGATTTTGTTTGCACGCAGCAAATGATAAGCAAAACTAAAGCGGCCGTTCTTGCATCAACGTAGTAGTTCTCATGCCGTCTGTTCTACTTTATTGTGCAACGCGAACGTTGTAATTTTACCTAATTACCACCGCAAGAAGTAATTTGCTATAAACGCTTCTGAGGATTAATTAAGACATTTCTTAAGAGATCGCGTTTAAGTTCCATATGTATTATTGTATGACGGAAATATAATTCATTAGCTGAATGTATTCGCGAATGTAATACGTTATTATATGCTCTGTAATTGTATGTGAGATCGAATGGTACCGTTCGACAATTTTATCAATTCGAAGTTTTGATTTGACCTTACATATAACAAAAGAAATTTTTTTATAATATAATTTATACTTATAATATAAAAGATATATTATTGAAATAATAGTTATTATTTTAAGGTTATTTAATTGAACAATGTAATTGAACATTTTATTTATGTTCCTAAATAATTTGTATTATAATTTTGTTAGCTCACAACTTATTTGAAGATGTCGCGTTCAAAAATCGATCCGAACTGTCTTGAAATAATTCACAAAGGGATTCATAGAGTCGCTTAGCCGGTTTATTCGAGTCACCAACAGTCTATGGGAAAGAGCAGTTATTAATAAACATAGGCAGAATTGTTATTCGACGATTTTATATTTGCATACGACGAATCCGGCTCTGGCCCCAGAAAATAGCAGGAACACCGCGCCCAATCGGCGACTTATTCGCCGATTGTCATTAAGATTTCTCGTCATGGACGTAATGCTGAGTTTCATCTCCCTGCATAATTAATAAGATTACTTTGCATACGTGTACGTATGAGTTAGCGTTTGAGATAATCCGTTAAAGAAAATTATACCGTATGGAAAAACAAATTATGTATATAGCAAATATACGTATATATCTCTGAGAAAACTTTTTAGTTGAAAATTTATTAGAATTCTAGTTGAAGTGACCGGAATTCTGGTTGATACATTTTTAGTAAAATTTATAGAATTCTTATTTTTACCAGAATAATTATATCAATCAGAATTCTTTTTATCTCAATTAAAATTCTGGTAATCAGAAAATTCTGATTTGTCCGTTTTCCACCAGAATTACTATTTAATCCATTTTTCTCAGTGATAACAAATGTTTTACGTTACAAATATGTATTGATATTATATCTCCCGACAAATATATTTCGATTATGAAAGATATTTTGCAAAATTTATTATTATAGCCATGATTATAAGAATAATCAGTGATTCATACATATCTTAAAATTCTAATATATATCATTATATAATAAACTTGTTAGCGTAACGCATTACTTTTATGAATGTGTTATATCTCAAGTTGCAATCTCAAGTTCCGCCACAAGACATTTAAACGTAAAACGCAACTAATATCTTAAAACGATCACTATCAGCGTGGTTATGCAACAACGAATGTGACATGCAATGCATAAGGACAACTCTGTAGACGTTGCGCCATTGGCGGGATGCGTCTTTCCGATCAGGTATTATCAAACTGCCGAGTAGTACATATATTTGTATCGCGATGTATTCCCCAAACAACGAATGCCGGCGGTAAACGATCACATTGCGCAACGTAAAATA